TCCTGCTGCTAATTCACTTCCTCTGAGCTCCATGGCAGCCTGAATTCTTGCCCCTTCCCCTCCCTTCTGTCACAAAATGCCTCATAAAGCAGAAATGCTGACTTGTGAGCCCCTTCCTACATAACACACTGCTTCTCACAAAGGCTTTGGCTCTTTCAGACCAGAGACTGGAACGAGGAGCTGCAGACCACGCGAGAGCTGCCGCGCAAGAACCTGCCTGAGAGGCTGCTGAGAGAACGAGCCATTTTCAAGGTAACTTTGGGATGTGCACGCAGCTCCTCATGCAGCCCCTTCTCTGCTGCCTGTATCACATCTGGACACTTCACCTGGGCTACCCTTAGAAACTGCAAGAGGAGGATCCCCGTTTGTAAGCTAAGGGGTCTTGTTCTCTCACATGTCTACCTTTTGCGCCCAGCCCCATGGGGAAGAACTGTGCTCCTTGAGCCCGTGTCTCCCTGCTGACCCTGCAGCAGCCTCCTCTTAGTCCTCTGCTGTTCTGTCTGATCCAGTCCTCTTTCGAGTGGGTGGGAGGAACAGGAGACACACACGCTTATGCCTAAGCCCTCCTCTGCAGAGAGGTAATGAGTCTGAGCCATTCTGATCCTTAATGTTCTGGCTCCTGGAGCTTATATCCAAGCTAATAGCCAAGCTCACAAAAGTAAAAGCCAGCTGACCTGTCTGCCTGCTGGAAGACTATCAGGAGGAGAGGAGTGAAGGGGAAGTTTGCAGGGAGCTTTGAGAATGAGGGGCTGGGAGGGTGGGAGCCCTTCCTTACCAAGCTTTTTCTCCACCTACCTCTAGGTTCACAGTGACTTCACTGCAGCAGCAACAAGAGGTGCTATGGCTGTCATTGATGGCAATGTCATGGCCATCAACCCCAGTGAAGAGACCAAGATGCAGATGTTCATCTGGAACAACATTTTCTTCAGCCTGGGCTTTGACGTCCGTGACCACTACAAGGACTTTGGCGGAGATGTTGCTGCTTACGTAGCTCCTACCAATGACCTCAATGGTGTGCGGACCTATAATGCTGTGGATGTGGAAGGGCTGTACACGCTGGGGACTGTGGTGGTGGATTACAGAGGTTACAGGGTGACAGCTCAGTCTATTATTCCTGGCATCTTGGAACGGGAGCAGGAACAGAGCGTCATCTATGGGTCAATAGACTTTGGCAAGACAGTTGTCTCGCACCCCAAGTACCTGGAGCTTCTGGAGAAGACCAGCAGGCCCCTTAAGATCCAGAAACACAAAGTGCTTAACGACAAGAATGAGGAGGTGGAGCTGTGCTCCTCGGTGGAGTGCAAAGGCATTATTGGAAACGATGGGCGTCACTACATCCTGGACCTGCTCCGCACTTTCCCTCCAGATCTAAACTTCCTCCCTGTTGAAGGGGAGGAGGTGCCAGAGGAATGTAAGAAAATGGGGTTCCCCAAGCAGCACAGACACAAGCTTTGCTGTCTCCGGCAAGAGCTTGTCGATGCCTTTGTAGAACACAGGTGAGCTGAGCCCCCCCGCTTCCTCCACCTGCACGTGGTGACGGTCCAAGTCAGGGCTGCGCTGCGGAGTCCCAGGGACATCACAGCAGAGCTCCCAGAAGTGGGCAGCTAATATCCCCATTGCTTGGCTGTGCAGGTGCAATTATAGAATCTTAACTAATGAGAGGTGAAAACAGGAGGGATTCTGACAGGGTTACAGGGAGCCAGGGAACAAAGTGGGTTGCTTTTTATTCTCCAGATAAGTTTTCATTGTTTCCTGTCCAAACATTTAGAAGTTCCTTCCCTGCAGGTATCCTGTGCACCTGATGGCTGGGGAATGGGAAGGATTTCTTCTGCTTCTTAAGGCTCTGCAGATGTCTTGAATGCTACCTTTACTTCCTAGAGGCTGAAAAAAAATTGCTTATGGGAACTGCTGTAGGCACTTTTGTGATGGGGTGTGTTGGCATTTTGGCTCGCTCAGTGCAGGCGAGGAAGTGGGAGCTCTGGGAGCAGGACAAGTTCAAAGCTGTGTGCTGCGGCCACGTGGTGCTGGTGATGTGAATGCTCCTGCTTCCTGTGTGAAGGGCTGCAGGTGCTCTGCTGTTGCAGATGGTCAGAGCCTGTGCTTCTCTTGCGGGGAAGATGAGCCCTCCAGTTGCTGACAGAGGAGCCCTGCCTGCTGAGGAACCAGTTCTGCAGCCAGTGCCCTTCCCAATCCTGCTGCGTGCCTGCAGGCAGGCTTTGCTGCTCCCTGGGAGAGCGTCCAGACTAGCAGCCTGCAGGACCGTGGCCGTAGGGCGCTGCTGCTCCTCCTTTGGCTAGCAGAGGCTGGACCTCTCTCTGCTGAGGTCTCCTGGCAAAATTGCTGCTGTTTTGTGTTTGACTAGTCCTGTGCATCTGGCAGGGAGCTGTCTGCTGATGCTGTGTGTGGAAAGTAATTTGTAACCACTGCAAAGAGATTAGTTTCCCATTGTCATGGGTAATGAGCACCCACTTCTTGTTTTCTTGCTTATTCTGATAAACTAATGTGCACTCCTTTGATTTCAGAAAGCTCTTGGGAAGAGGGTGTACGTCCTGGCTTTCCACAGGGACACTGGATGGTCTATAATGTGAGGTTTTTCCTCGCAGAGCAGTGGTGATCCTCTTGGATTCTCCTGCTGTGCTGAATTCCTCTTTTCCTTTACTGTAGGTATCTCTTATTCATGAAGCTGGCTGCACTGCAGCTGATGCAGCAGAAAGCCAACAAACACGAGAGCTCAGGTGTGCTGGAAAATGGCACCTCTCCGGAGAATGGTACTGCAGACAGCGAGAAGTCTGAGTCAGAGGATGGTAAAATAGATGATAACGTGACTGGACTTGATCAGGTGAAAGAGCTGGCTGAGACTATCGCATCTGATGATGGAACAGGTATTTCATCCTCTGCACCAGAAGCAGCCCAGGCCTCCTGCCCTGGCTGGTGGGCTGTGTCACTGGTAGGAGCTATGCCAGACTCGGGGTGGTTATTTGTCATTAAACAGGACAAGCTCTGGCTTCTGCTGTCACTATTGCCTTGGTTCTTTGCATGGAGCTGTTCACACACTAATGAATTAATCACTCTGGGGGCCAGTTGGGTAGGTGGGTGAGTGTCTCTGGATGCAGCAAGCCCATCAGCTCCACCGCAGGAGCGAGAGCCTGGCCAGTGGGCTGGCTGCGGGGTCGGCTGCCAGAGGCTGTGAGGGCAGTGGGCTGTGGCAGGGCTGGGAAACGTGGAGGGCACCAGCACTTTGGGAATCCCAGCTTGGATTTCTGAGTATCTGTGGGTGAGGGGTGGGGCAGGGGGTTCCCTGGGTTTTCTGGGTCGTCTTAGTGCTCTTGTTCAGGCTTTGCAGCCATCCTCCTTTCCAAATACCTTACAATTGTTTGGTTTTAGAATGGATTTCTGCAGGATGTGCTATCGTTGCTGCTTTTAGTAACAAAACTTTATTCTTAATTTAATAGCTAGGCTTGTCATCTTCTGAAATCACCATTCATTTGTATTCTGTTTCTCTTCTTGCTCCAGTGGATCCCAAAAGCAGAGAAGTGATTCGAAATGCTTGCAAGGCTGTAGGCTCTATTAGTGACACATCATTTGACATTCGGTTTAACCCAGATATTTTCTCACCAGGTATGTGTACAAAGAGCTCATTTGAGTCTTCCTTGAGAGGCTTGCCATGTCCAGCCAGCTACAGACAAAAAATTGTGTTCCATAGTTAAGAATACTGCTGTGTTTTGGCTGGCTGGGCATTGTGCAGGATTCTCCATGAAGCACAAAGATACAGAGAAGAGGAAGAAGTGTAATTGATTTCAATGCTCCAGCCACCAAACGCAGGCACTGAGCTGTCTCCCACTGCTACGCCTGGGGGAGGTCTGCAGATTGCTGCCAAGAATCTTCTTGTGATTCTCCAGCATCCCAGCTGCTAGACCACATGAAAAGAAGCAGAGGGAGGGGAAAAAATTAAATTTGATCCTAATGTAGTAGTTTACACAAAAAACAACAGTTGCAGTTGAACGACTGATATTGCATCCTCAGTGAAGGTCAGGGTTTGTTGTAGTAACATCATGTTAAGCAGGTCACAGTGCCCTTTCGAATGCATCCAGCGAATGCAGGCATTGTACGTACCTTTCCATGGCTGGAATCGGTATTTTTTGTAATTTGGAAATACAGAAAATGCTCCCAGAGTATTTATGGAGGTGAATACCAAGGCTGCATGCATGGAAATTGCGGGGGAATGGCCACATAGTTCAATTCAGCTTGGAATAAATGTGTCAGAAGGAGCATGTGTTTTGAAATGCCCAAGTATCTTCTCAGGCTGGTGAGGATTAGTGCTGTGGCACCGGCTTTGCAGCTAGAACTTAAACCTTTATTTTAATGTTGGTGTGCAAAAGCAAAAGGCTCTGAGTTTCTAGCACTTACAGTATTTACTGGTCCATCCTGCTGAGACGTTCCCACTCCAGCCCAGCCAGCTGAGCCTTTGGCACTGGAAGTGTACAGAGCACTTTGCAGAGGGTAGAATGGACCAGATAAAGAGCAGGATTTGGGCTTTTAAAAGCTGTGTTAAGAATGAGTGAGTGGGCAAGAGCAGCTGCTAACCAAGCAGAGCAGCTAATGCCCTTTCCCTTGAAACACGTAGAGCAGATGAGTTTTTGAAGAAGCATCTTTAATTCCAGGGAATTGGGGTCACTTTAACCTGCTCTGGCTGTGCTTTCTGTATATGGCTTGGTTCCTCTTGGAGCTGATGTGCATGTTTTTCTCTCTTACCCTCCTAGGTGTTCGTTTTCCTGAGTCTAGCAAAGAGGAGGTGCAGGATCAGAAGCAGTTGCTGAAAGATGCTGCTGCATTCTTGCTGTCGTGCCAGATCCCAGGTTTGGTAAGGAACTGAGCACCAGCAGTCGTGTCCCCTCTCAAAGCTTGCCCCAGGCCTGGCCACTCTGAGCAAGCAGTGACACAGCGGCACGCCAGCTTCGACTCCCAAGCAAACACTGTTCTACTGGTAGTGAAGTTGTGGCACCAGTGGTGAAGGGTGGTGATGGGGTTTTCCATTTCCCATCTTAGATCATGACACAATTCTCCCACCTCATTTCAACAAAGAATTTTTGGCACTAATAATTAACAGCTATTGCTAAGAGTTTGGGACAATAAAGACCACACAAAGCATCTTCCCTAGCTCTGGGCGTCCTGCACAACTTACTGTATTATCTGACCCTGAATGTGACTCAGTGACTAAAAATTTGGAGTGAATTGGGAAATTGCTCTTACTGATATCTATTGTAAAAACTCCCTCTGTCAGTCTTAAGCTCTTTGATGCTTACCCATGCACCTGGCTAGATAAGAAATACCAGCTTATCCCTTTTCAAGATGCTCTCTAAATTGACTGCTAATGCTTATGTTGCAGCAGGCCCTGTAACTAGGAGGGTGGAATTGATGATCTCAACTCCAGGAGGTTCAGGAGTTGTTGGTCTCATGTAGGAAGGGATTTTCTTTGCTGGAGAGTTTCTTCCGAACTCTAAATCCACTCGTTTTGTAGTCAGCATAACCTTTAAGACTGGCTGCTTGGTCTTTAAATAAAAAAGGAGAGGAAGTGAATCAGAAAAGGACTTGGTGGCTCTTGTCTTTACAAGGTAGTTGATACACTAGCATATAAATCCAGAATGCTGCATAAGTGTGTGTGAGGGCAAGTTACAGGCCAGCTGCCATAAGCAGGCAGTCCTGTGTGCTCTGCGTATCGGAGCGGGACTGCTGTTACTCTGTGACGTGAATTAAATGACTCTTTATCAGCACTGCAACACAACTTAAAATGCAAGTGCCATTTCCCCTTATCAGCCCAGTGTGCACGACTCCACGTGGTCTTTTAATGGGAAATGTTTTTTAGTTAGGGACTGTGAGGCCCTTAAAGAAGGGTTAACCTGCTTGTTCCACAAGCTCTAGTTAAGTAAGCCATGCCAAAGGGAAAGTGGTTCTCGTTGCCTGAGCCATAGGAGTCCTCAGAGTCCAGAGTACTCTGCTGCTGAGTTCCTGTCTGACCTTCCTCTCCTCTGTCAGATTTTTTTTTTAATATTTAAATTCATGATTGGACTTGATGATCTTAAAGGTCTTTTCTAATCTAGGCAATTCTGTTAAATTTAAATTATATTCTTCATGTTTGCTCTCTAACTGAAGTTTGCATCTACCCTGCAGGTCAAAGACTGCCTGGATCACACGGTGCTCCCGATGGATGGGGCTACCTTAGCAGAGGCCATGCACCAGAGGGGCATCAACATGCGTTATCTAGGCAAAGTGATCAACTTCATCTCCAAAACCCCTGGCCGTGCTCAGCTGGATCACATTTTTGTAAGCATCGGGCTTAACTTCAGACTGACAGTTAAAACTGCCTCTGGCATTATTTGCCCTGTGTGGATTCCAACTTGGCCAGTTGTTTTCTCTATGTAAAATAAACACCTTCAAAAATAGAGGGAGAAAGACCCGTGAGTGGTGGATGGGGAATTTTGCTCCCCATCACCTTAATGGCTTTTATAATGTTAGAGGGTTTGAGTGTCCTTTGGGATAGAGAAGAGCTTCAGAGATTCCAAAGCATAATGGCAGGTAACACGCAGTTGCACTTTAAGCCATGCATTTTTTTAAGCCTCTAAGGTCCATCAGGGCTTTGGATCAAACTGGAAGTTGTTGCGAGTGCAGCTGCCCTAAAGCATGCGCAGGGCCAGCTCTGTGGTGGCTCCTGGAAGCACCGTTGGAGCTGAGCTGTGCCACATGGGGTGGCTTGTGGTCACTGCGCGGGTGTGCAGGGGGCTCTTCTCAGGTCCAGGAATGTTGTCAAATGCAAAACAGTTCTGTGCTGCAGGATAAGGACTGGAGAATGTGTCTTCTGCAGGTCTTGATAAAAGCCCACTTCAAAAGCAAAGTGTATTTTTCATTGTTATCACCAACTGACTCTCAGTCTCTGTTCTTTATTCCTTTGGGTAGAAAATAGGAATCAGTGAATTGATCACTCGATCAGCTAAACACATCTTCAAGACGTACCTCCAGGTATGACCTGCGGCCTGACCTCTTGCCTTGTGTGTCCTCTCTAATGACTTTTTTCCACGAATAAGGAGCTGTTGGAGAGGCTGCTCTCATTAGGCGGTTCGTGGGGGTTGCTTAGCAACGGGAAGTACAATCTCATTAGTGCTAAAATAGGTACGGGCCTGCCTGTAAGGGAAAACAAGTTCCCACTTGAAGGCAGCTTTCCCAGAGAGCAATCATTCATGCTTTCCTTCCCCAGATTCTCACTCATTATGTTGAAGGCTTTTAAAAGTGAAATCACAGCTTGTTTTCCTTTTAATACCTTTTTCTCTTAAACAATGCTGCTTTTGCCTTTCTAAGAAGCTTTTTTAATTGTATGAACTCTAGTGCATCCTTAATCTGTCTGTACATAGCACAGCAATGCACCTGGCTTTATTCCACTGTCTAAATCTTCTTCACACTCTCCAGTTTCTCTGTTCCACATAGCAGCCCGAAATGGAACTCTGTATTTGTGTGTGTAGGTATATACTGATATCTACATAATTCTGTCTGTGCTAGTTCCACTTGCAAATACTGCCTTCCTCTCCCTCTCCTGGAAGATTTTCCTGTTTCTGGTAGGACTGGATTTGCGTGAGGCTCAGGGTCGGAGTAGTGCCTGTGTGTTGGCATGTGTCTTCCATGACTGACTTTGGTGTCTCGCTGTAGGGCGTGGAGCTGTCAGGTTTATCAGCAGCCATCAGCCACTTCCTCAATTGCTTTCTAAGCTCCTTTCCAAATCCCATTGCCCATCTTCCAGCTGATGAGCTGGTCTCCAAGAAAAAGAACAAGAAAAGAAAAAACAGGAACCTTGGAAACGCTGATAACACTGCATGGGCCAGCATGACCCCTCAGGAGCTTTGGAAGAATATTTGTTCAGAAGCAAAGAACTACTTTGATTTTAATCTGGAATGGTAAGCAGAGCAAATCACCCTCGCTTGTGCCTGGACACTCACCAAATGTCTGGAGCTCTTACTGTTCTTTAATATAACCTGCCTATTTGACTTGTTTTCCGTCCATTTGAATATACATTTGTACTCTTGAGGGAGTTTTACAGGCTTATAATGGAAAGAAGGTGGGCAAAGAGCAGCAGGAGGAAGTGTAACTGAAATTTGAAATGAGATTAAACCTTTGAGGCAAAGGCAGCTGGGAGAACCAGGGGAGGAGGAAAAACCTCTCCTGCAGAGGGGAGCAGAAGGCAAGAAGCTGGAGTGTAGTCAAAAGATATTTGTCTGTATAGATGATGATTTAGGCTGAAGGGAGCTTATGTTCCAGAAGCAAGGACAGCTTCTCCTGTATCTGAAACAGAGGTGATGAATGAGGCTGCCAGAAGGTGCAGCTAGAGAGTGTTGAACTGGATGTACAAGCAGAGTGGCCCAAGAGAAAAACCACAACTAGTTGGTTAAATGGGTG